GGGGGGGGGGGGGATCGGGGAGAGTGCCGTAGGTTAAATTTTGCCGGGGTTGAAGAGGAGAGCACATAGGTAAAAAATTGGCCGATGTGCGCGGGGAGTCTTACAGTAGGCATTGGTGGCGGAAAGGAAGATGAAGAACAGGACGCTGTCTCGCAGGATAATCTCCACGAACTTGCGAATCGCCCTTGACAGCCCGCTCTCCACCGCCATCACCTGTGTATGTGCCAGCAAAGCATCAGTGCAAGGGCATAACTAGGTCATCACGATATTACGGTGTGCTGCGACGAAGACATAACCTGCACCACACCGAACGAGGGCGAGAGAGGAAAACACGGGTGCCCATTCCAGCTGAACAAAGCACGTCGCAGAAGGCCGTTCATCATTGGGCACCTTAGTAGAAGAACACAGTGCGTTCTGGACGCACGGGTCACTACAATACGGTTTTCGGTTTCAATACATCAATAAAGCCACCACGCAGCAAAAGCAGCAGCAACCACAACAACAACACAGATTTGCCCAAAACCACGGTTGCCTTCGCTCACCAGCAGGACGAGAACAACGAGCATAAATCCCAGCTGGAAGACATACTCCGTGGAGACCACCGTCGCAACTATCGCGTCGATGGCCCCAAGATCTGCCTGAAAAAAAAGAGCACAAGTACCACACACAAGGGTGTGGGTGTGGGCAGGAGCGGTTTTCACCTGGTGACTGCAAATCGCCGAATGGAGACAAGGAGATTTCCGCATGAGATTGAATGACAAATTGAAGGAGAGTACCGGGGGGGGGAACAGAAGATAGCAACAGACTCACCGTGCGGCTGTCGAAAACCAGGTACACCTTGGCGTACACGAAGAGCCAGATCGACAGCGTCAAGAATACCTCGAGGGGTAAGCAACGTTTGGCATCCACCACGGCCAGGCGTAAGGGCGGCAGCATTGCCGTTAGTCCGCTACAACGTTTGGATCCATTGGCATGTAAAAAAAGCTCGAAAGACGCATGGTGATAGAGCGGCGCGCTCAGCAACAGAACGCAGGAACGGCAGCCAGTTTCCCCCCAAAGCACCCTTGGAAATCTCACTCGATGGCGAACACGTGCACTCTGGAGAAAAAGAGGAGCCCTCTGCTTCTGGCCCCCGAACAAACGGATGGACTGCTCTTCTCCAACTGAAACGCCAAGACAGATGAGCTAGTTCCCCAACTCAAACGGATGGCTTGTCCTTTCCTTCACGTCCCTTCAACTGAAACACCAAGACAGATGAGCCGCTCCCCCAACTCAAACGGATGGATGATTCTCCAAATGAACCGGCACAATGCAACGAAACGGCCAAAGTCGGACAACGATACAAACGCCAATCCTTGGGGCAAACTGACACGGCCCTCGTCAACCCAATCACGATCGCTTGTCGACAGGCTGTAACGAACCTGGTTGAGGTAGAAGCCGACGCTGCTGTAGAAGAAGGACAGGAGACGAAAGATGTCCAGCTGCTGCGCGATGCGGTGCACCTCATGAATTTTTCGAGAAAAAAGTCGTCGTCCCGTTGGACAAGCCACAAGAAAAAGTATTCGAATAGTTAAGGGCCACACCCCATGTACATGAACAGCTGAAACTCAGCCACGACTAGGTTGTAGCTACAGTTGCAGCTTAAACTCTGGCCGATACAGCTGATGTTAGTGGTGTTGTTAGTGGAATCTTAGGAATTATGTTGGTGTTGTGCTCACCGTAGCCTACCGCCAAATATTTTGCCCGTAGTGCCAAACCAGGGAAATAAACACGCTTTGGAACACTTGCGAGGTGATCCGTGTCACTGCTTGCTGCGGTCACAAGCACATACGTACAGCTCTTCGAGGACCTCTGTCCAAGGGCCATAGAGAACACTTTCTCGTGAAGGACACCCGTAGGTGCGGGCGTCAGGTACAAGCTCTCACATTCTGGCCGTCGGCGTGTCATCCACGACAAGCATCCTCGTGCACGCTTTCCGCGTTGTCTATATGTAGAACGTACTTACAAAACCAGGAATTTCATTCTCCATGACGCGCAGACCTTCTCCCACAAAAATACGATCGCACTTCTCCACGCCATGGCAAGAGCTACAGTTAGTCCGCATCACAAAAAACAACACCCATTGATGCCGTAGGCATTTCTGCAACAACCGCAGCACGTGGTTCGATACGGGTGATGCAGAAGCGCCTACGTTGCACAGCATCATGACTCACCTCCCTGGATCGGGCCTGCATACCGTTGCCCATGCTGATCTTGGCCACGAAGCCTGTGATCTGCCCGAGCCCTACGTCTCGCCCCTTGCCAACCTGACGGAATCGGCAAAGGCAAAGCAGAGCAATCAATGTTCCGGACACTGCTTTGCTCCTCGTGGGATAGGGGCAAAGTCGAGAACATGACGGTTTTTTCCCGGTAGCGCCGCGCTCTTCGCCCAGACGTGTGTACCCGGCCCACTCGGTTCCTCCCAGCAAAGAAGGATAGCGAACACGCGCGCACAGCGGCTCCTTTTCATGGTCAGCCGACTTTCGCACAACCCATGCTAACCCAAAACAGCCCACTATACCGCAGGCACATGAATAAATAGCCTGGTGGCACTTCCTTGGGCAGCCAGCTAGCCAGCACTCGATGGGCTAGCCAGCACTCGATGGGCTAGCCAGCACGCTCGATGCCAGCAGCCGAAACACATACACACGCACCTGGATGTATTCGGCCTGGGTGGCCTTGCCTCCCCTGAGGATGAAGTTGCATCCCCCGAAGATGTCCTCGGACAGGTTGATGCCCTTCGACGCTTTCGAGATGCCGCCCAAGGTCATCGCCGACACCCTTCGCAAAAAGACAAAGACGAAGAACGTCAGTGCGGGCATCAAGAAGAGGCGCTGCTTTTTGCACATCAATACCACGCAAAGCAAAGGTACTAGTCTCTTGTGAGCTAACAAGGAGTGACGTGAATACACCTACAAGCAAGCTCAGCTGCCGACGCCTGGAATGTTACCATACGATACTCGAAGCGATCGTCAAGGCGGTTGACTATTGTGGCTCCTCGAACGGTGGAGACAGGAAAAAACGCAAAATTTCTGCAGCACCCCATGACCCGACATCCAACAAGCGAAGGGTGTACCGGCGCGCAGCCGTACGTCTTCATCTTTGGCTTCCTACAAAAACGAACTGTCATGTCTGGCATCTCGGCAGTTGTCGGAAAAATGCATGGATAGGTCAACGAGGAATGAACAGTTGAGAGAAAGTAAAAGTCGCAAGGAATAGTCGTTGACCGGAAGAGAATCACGTATCGATAGAGCAACAAGGATTAAAATTGCCAATCGAACAATGCATGTAGAACGAGACTATGTGTTTTCACAGACGCTCAAAGGAAAGCTAAACTTCATTTCGTTCAGAAAAACAGGTTTGACAAAATGCTGACACCAAGCTTGAAAAATACCTTGCTGAAAAAAATGCTGAGGGTCGAAAACATGCTCACTTGTCGAAAAGGTCGGGATGCCCGTAGTGAAATCGGACGGCGAGCGGCTTGTCCAAGAACCGCTGGATGCTCGTCACGAACGACAGCTCCTGAAGAAACGAAACCAAAGTGAGAGCAATGGTCGCTTGACATGCCGTGGGTAAAAGAGGTCCTCCAAGCCCTCCAAGCAGCATTGAGGGGGGGTGTACTCATAGTCGTGCATGCCGTAGTCGTTAGACCATTGACCTCGCATCCCTACAAAGCCGGGACGGTGCACGCCGGGTTCTCACCGGACCAGGCTCTCACATCACCAAGCGCGAAGCGCCGTGAGATATTCGGCGAGTCGCATGAAGGGTGCGCTGCATCCTGCTTAGGGTGTTCGGCATCTTGTGCTTACTTCCCTGCGTACAGATGACAGCTGCGTATGGTGCTTTCACTTCCTGAGACAGTTGTAATCACTGTGGAACTGCCTCGAGGGTGCTTGACCATTTTAACACAACGTGGTGCGATCATCCCCCTTGCGCGG